AGCTGGCCCAAAAGTTGTTTGATGCCTCCTCTCTCCAAATGCGCTCACTCCTTGCCACCCTTGCCAGTACCAGGTGAGGTCCGTGCCATAGCTGATGCACGATGGCTGATGGCTGGAGCTGGCACAAAGCAGCACCGTGGGCTCGGGTTACCCACCTCCTGCTTAAATAGGAGCCTGGACAGGACAGAAATAAAATGGTACAAGTCAGTAAGAGCAGTGGGGAGGCTGCTGCTGAAATAGGAGCCTGGACAGGACAGAAATAAAATGGTACAAGTCAGTAAGAGCAGTGGGGAGGCTGGAGCTATTATAAAGCCATTATGGAGCTATTACAGCACTATTAGCTATTGCTACTCCTGCTCCCTGAAGAGAAGGGTCCCAGGAGCGATGATGCTGCCCTGGGGCATCCCTGCTGCCTCCATCCCCTGCCCTTGGGCTCAGCCCCAAAAGGGTATGCCTTCCCCCAAGGCATCTCATGGCTGATTTCTTCATTGCTAAACGAAATGTGTGATACAGGACCCGCACATGTGTTTCTTTAACACTTCGAGGTGGTGACTCCGGTGCTAGCAGGGATGGGGGGACCAGCCATGGTCAGGCATGACCTGGGCTAGCTCCCATGGTGAGACAGAAAAAGAAAAACCCAATTCTTCCCTCTGAGGAGGAGAATTATTTCCAGCATCACAAGAAAACAAAGCAGACCAAGAGGGATTATTTTCCCCAAACAAGATGCTGTTTGAAAACACCCACTTGGAGTCACACATCATTTTTTTCTTCCCTGCTTGTTGCAACTTTGCCAAATCCAAAAATTTCAATACTGAGTTGGCCTCTAAATTCACGAGACAAGCTTAAAATTCCTGAGATTGTTGTTTTATTTTGAAAAATCTCATTCTTTTCATTCAGTGCTTACTGCTGGAGCCCTAAAAGACCCCATTTTCACATGTCTCTTTGACCACAGTAGCTAGAAACACCCTTTTGCTCCCCCCTCCACCCCCTATTTTCCTGATTCCCCATCGATCGAATGAATTCTGGAGCCAGGCCTCGAAGGAAACATGAAGTGTTGGGAGATTTGCAATTGATGGTAGGAGTTGTCAAGAGCTGTTGTCAGCACAGCGTACAAGATGTGTGTGAACCATCCCCAGCAACTGTTCCTTCCCAAGCCAGCTCTTCTGACAAGACAGAAAGCACACGGAGCCGCCTTTCCCAGCACAGATACCCGCCGCAGAAGATGAAACGAGAGCTTACCCTGCTGTCAGTTTGAGCGGCGTTGGGTTTGAGCTGGAGGAACACCCCCGCACACACACACACCTGCTCCCACACACTCTGGCTCAGCCCCAACCATCCCCACACCGTGTTTCACGTTCAAAGCTGAGCAGGTTTTGCTGCCGGGACACGTCTCGGTGCCCAGGATCGGGTTGGGAGAGCTGGAGCTCGCCGGGGACCTGCAGACCTGCTGGGCAGGAGCAGGTGGAGCGGCTGGGGCTGGCTGCCCGTGCCCGGGCTCCGGGAGGACACAGCGGCTTTGTTTGCCTGTGTGCGGTGTGGGAGGCTCCCCCAGCTTGGCACCAGAAGGTTAGTGCTTTTTAAAAGACTATTGTTTTCACCCTGTGTTTTTGGAAAAACAACAGGCGAGCTGGGCAGAGGCATGAGAGCCACCCTTGCTTCTTCTGCCTTGAGTTTCTGCTGCTGTGGGCATCTCCCCGGCTGCGCTCCTGGCCCCCTGACCTCCTCCCTCCCATGCAGCCGCAGCTCAGACCCCTGATCCCGCTGAGCTTGTGTTCCCTCACATCTCTCCCTTGTTTCTTTCCCTGTTCTTCACTTAGTAGGAGAGGTCTCTGCTGTGTCAGGAGCACCACCAAGAGCAGAGCAGAAACACGCAAAGGTGTTTCCCCAAAGCTAAGGCTTCTCCAGCCTTGGCCTTGCATGGGCATCTCAGCTTTCATTGTGGTGAACTAGTGACCCGGCCAAAGCTGATCGCCCTCATCATCATCATCATCAGAGCTGGACCTAAAGATTCGCTGTGAGATGCCTCAGCAACCACGGGGCTAATGATCCAAATAATAAAGAACGCCCAAACATATTTGGAAAAAAAGCCCACATGTGCTTTTGGACTCGGTCTGTGGTATCTGAGCTAGGATCAGCAGGATCTCCACGGTGTTTTAGCTGGGCTCCAACTGAGATGCAACACACATGTGCCCTTTTCTTAGGAGAGCCAGGTTCAGGGTTTGTCCTCCCTGGCTGTCACTGTTATCAAATGCCTGCTTAACAAGATTTATTAAATCAACTAACTTCTGTATAATAATGACAGGAATGCAGATTTCCTCTGCTCACCTGGGGCTCGCTGCAACTATGCAGAGCAATTAGAGGTGACTCACAGGGCCAGGTGGACTCGGCCAGGATCCCCAGAGGGCTGGCCCTGTCCCCGGGATGCAGGGAGCAAGATTGGCTCCATGGTGATGCCAAGAAAGCCGGTGTTTATCTGCATAGAATGATTTTTTTGCTGTAACTGGATTGTCATGGAAGGTGTTTTTCCTTTGGAGGAGTCGCAAGGTAACGCCTCGTTACATAAAGGATCCAAACAGCAAAGGGCTGTTGCTAATTGGCAAAAACATTTAAATTTCCCACCTGGAGCTGGTTGAGTTTGGTGATGAAGTTGTCTGCAGCTCAGCTGCCCACCAGCATGGAGCCTGGGGAAGGACCCTAGCTCCTGCAGCGGGTGGCTGTCGGTGGGCCTCAGCGTTGGAGGATGCCCTTCCAGAGAGCGAAGGTCAGGAGCAGGTTAACACCCAGAAGGTGTTTCCTAGGTGCAGGCAAAGTGTTTGGCTTGGCTTGGCCTGGCTTGGCTTGGCTTGGCTCGGCTCGTAGCTCCCTTCCAACAGCAGGAACAAATAGCATAATGACTGGAATGATGAAAATTCACTGTCTCAGCCTTAAATGATGAGCAGCTTCCTGGTCTGTGTCCCCAGCTTGCCCCACAGATAAGGGCTGTAATGCTCTTTGATTAAGATAACAGGGAGCCAGACATGTCCCTGCTCTTGACAAATTTTAATCTTGTGATCCAGTTCCTGGGCTGAAGTGGTTTCACACAGCAGCAGAGAGGGACGCTTCTCAAATCGGGGTACTCTAACTACACGTCTTTAATTTTAAGCCTCTCTTAACTGCTAATGGTGAAAGAAAAAGTCCCCAAGCCCTGTTCCACCTGGGGCAGGTGGGTGAAGGGTGGGAAGATCTGGCCTTTAACTCTGAGGAGTTTTGCCTGGCGTGCAGCTGCTGTGTACTCTGCTGTAGCTTGACAGCTTTTGCAGTCAGATCCAGGGGTGGGGAACTTGGCCAAAGTGTTTCTTGTCTACGTAGTCTTTTCAGTGGGGTGAGACACATGAATAAAAGTGCTAAGACTTTGGGTTTACGGTGTCAGGCTTTAAATGCAACCAGCTAAATTGGGAGGAGGTTTCATGGGGGCAGACTGAGCCCTGCAGCAGCACCAGGAGCAGCTCTGAGCCAAGTGCTTGGACAGATTTGCTATCTCCAGAGCTGTAGACAGTGCTCTGATCTCTTGCATCACTCCTTAGAGCCACACTGCTAATCCTTTGTACCTGTGCAAACACGAGAGGAGAATCTTTCTCTTGTTTTCTTGCTCCAGCCAGACCCTCCTTCCCTTCCTCCTGCAAAGCGCAGGCTTGAGGACACAACCCAGACCTTGAGCTCCTGGGAGAACTTGGGGGCACAGACACCAGCCATGGGCTCAGCTGTGCCAAAGAGGTTTTTGGTGATTTACAGCTTATTCTGCTGAGCGAGTTGGCAGATGGTCTGAACTGGCAGAGAAGGAGGGAGATCGTCACGTGGAACAAAGTGCTGTCTCCTGGCAAAAACAAGGAGAAAGTCTAGTCTGCAGGCTTACCCGCTGAGTGCAATATGGTGCTTAGAAGTCATCCTGCGGAAAAGTAAGGGGTAATCTGGTTGAACGGTATTAGCTGTATAAGTTTCCAGTAGGTGTTGCTTTAAGTGCTGTCTCTGAATGCTCTCTCCATGAAGGAACTGTCATCAAAGTAGGTATTTAAATAATGTCAAAGGCTCTTTGACCTCAAAGTGTGCGGGGGTGATGGGAGGGCATGAGTCATAAAGAAGATATAGCACCGCTTTCCTTGTTGCCCAATGTTTCACATTCTTCACCCTTTAAATAAAAATGAGTATTAATAAATCCAGCAGACCCTAAAAACCCCTCCTAGGGTTAGGTGCCGGGGGAATGAGGTCCTCAAAGGCGAATGTGCAAAAAAACTCGGTCATGAAAAAAAAGCAGCAGCAATGTTGAACTGATGAGTAGCGATTCAAGGCAGTCTTGGCCCTTTGAATACCACTGACACTAATGAAGCTCTAACTGAAATCACTAGTCCTGCACGCCGTTTGTTTTCCCTTGGTCTCTTGGCCACCTCTGTTTACTTTTTGTTGCCACTGAGAGTCACCTTTCTTGTGGCTACGCTGCTATTGTTTAATTACAGTTCTGACTACTCACATTAAATGTCAAGTGTCAAGCAACCCTTAAGTAAATGAGAGCTTTCTAAACACCACCCCAACCGTTCGTTTCTGTTTTCTGAAGCCTAGGACAGGATCAGCAGGCCAACAGCCTCCCATCTTATTCATGCCTGCTGCCAAGCTGGGGGTTTAAAAGCTTAGGAGCTACTAGCATACAAAATTTGCCCCTCAGAGTTCCCCTGAAACACTCTTTAGAGCGAGACAGGGAAAGGGAGTGAAGTCTGCAGGCAGCTGCGAAGGCAGTCGGGGGTGCCTGGGGGTCGGTGCCGCCTGGGGCTCTGGGAGCCTGTGGGATACAGGTGTACGTGCTGATGGAGAGGGGCTGTGTACTGAGCTGGGGACCTGTCGGTGCCTGGGGTAACTCTTCCCAACCCGGCCATGGTCTCTAGATGCTGCAGCAACGCAAACAAAGTGAGAGGGATGCTAGTGAGAGTCGCAGTGTAACCCCTATTTCTGCAAGGCTCAAAGACAGCTGATCAGAAGAAACCTGTTTATTGTGAGGTTTAGGAAAACAATTTTTATGCAAATTGCTTTTTTTGGCAAGTAATGGTGTTGATACAGAACTTGGAATTACAGTTTTAAGAATACAAATACATAGTATCTTTTTAAACAAACACAAAACAAACTTTTTCCTTGGGGAACATTAAATGAGCAAATGTTTGCTAAAATAAATGGGCAAAGACACCGGATGGGAGGGAGAAAACAAAACAACCCAACTCAGAAGCCAAAACCCCACTGAAGAAGCAGCAGTCACATCTTCAATTTTACGCTCAGGCTGTACTTTCACTTTGCTTTTCCTGTTCGATAGCTGCCAGAAAAACAGAGGAAACGAAACCATCATCAATAAACATTATAGTGATCCTGCAGGATACAGATTTCTATGGTCATTCTTAAAGCCAGGGGATGGTAACTCCCCACTTGCTTTCTTTGGCCACCCTGGAAATGCCAACCCATTCCCATGTCTGCCTAGCTAGTAAGGTGCAGTTCATGATGTGCAAACCTCCTCTCTTATGTACAGATTTAGCATCGGTAGGGACAATAAAACAGGGGAAAAACAGGTCTTTTATGTCGAGGGACAGTGCGTCTCCGTGACTATCAGTACTGACACATCCAAAGTGGTTAGTGATACTCTTCTGAAGGAAACCACTCACAATGGCTGGTCCAAACGCAGAGAAATGCCATTTTCACATTCAAAGCTGAATGTGAATCACAACCCTCATCTGGCTGCCTGCGCACAGTGTGTCTAGGGGAGAAGACCCTGCAGGAGGAAACCCAGGGGTGCTTTGCTAAGGAAGATTGCCTGTTAGGTGAGGAGGATGGTGGGTTTCTCTTGCTGCCTTGTTCCCAGAGAAGGTGCCTGGAGCTCTCCTGGCCAGGGCTGACAACAAGTACCAGTGGGGGGCAGCAGCTCATCTGCCTGATAACACGTTAAATCCAGAGCCTAGGCACCTTCTGGGGGTGCTGCCTGGCCTGCCAGGGATCTGCAAGGGTTCCCCTGTGCGTCCGTGCCTCTGAAGAGGCCGATAACATGGTAATCACAAACAGTTTGATCCCGTTACCCACAACCAGCAGAAAAACTGGTCTTGCTTTTAGCAGAAGCAAGAGCAATCCCATCAGAAAGGATTTTTCAGACAAAACGCACCATTGGGTATAATTATTCGTATCCTTGGAAGCCCAGCATAGAGTACAAGTCTTAGTATTATCCCCAGTTAAAGTCAGGGATGAGTTTGAGCCTGTAATCCTACGATCAGTATTCATTTTGCATATGAACTGCAATACAGATTGTGTCCTTGCTACTCATAGTTCAAATAGCCTCATAAGCACTTACTTTCTTTAGTGGGCAATGGATTTTTCTCTCTGGTTTCTGTCTTCTTCAGCTTGGTCTTGTCAAATGTTTCAATTTCTGCAAAATCTGGTTTGTCGGACATGATGGGTCCTGACAAAGAAAGGAAAAACACACCCATGGCTTCATTAGCTAGTGCTGTGATATCAGCCATCTGCAAAGCATTTTCTGCTCGAAAGAAAAAAGATGAAAATACCATAAAAATGTTTATTCAAACCCCCCCCCCCAAATCTAACACCTCAGTCTGGGACCTCTCCCTGAGGCTTGGCTCTTTCAGAGCAAAAGAAGAAAGGCATAAATAGAATTTTATCTAGATTTCTCAGACAAAATTTCTAAAAATCATATTTTGCACATGGAAACAAGAATATCTCAGTAAAGACAACACAATGCATTAATTGCCAATAATCCACGGTGCCTCCTGACGTAAACCTCTATTTTAAGGAACGCTGCTAACCAGAAAGTCTACAATAAACCCCAAATCCAATATGAACAAAGAGCTTCAATTATGATTTTGTTTTAATTAATAGGATTGGTCTTTAATTCTGAGCACCCTGTCCTAGTGCGTACATACCCCGGTAGCGGCACGAGCTGCTGTGGACACTTGCGCTTAACAATAGAGGACCAGTTCACCCAGCCCTTTGTTTGCTCTCGCATTCAATATCCCAGTCGCAGGCTCAATGGGTTTGATTATACCCTATTATAAGAGAAATCCACAAAGCACACTGGCTTTCAACACTTCACCTGTCAAAACTTCCCTAATCCAATTCCTGTTTTTAATAGAAATTCAAGTTAAAATCCAGCCTGGGCGTTATTCCCCTGATTTCAGTGGAGTTTCCCATCAAGGCGAGGTTTGGCCCGGAGATGGCTGACATAATTACATTTTTTCCTTCCTGAAGACAATCAGACTTCATTGCTATCTGCATTGAGACAACAGAAGTAAATATTCACAGGAAAAAAAAAAATGAAAAGCTACTAAAACCACATGGCATTACCGTCTGGCTGCTCTCTCCTCAGCTGCTTGGTGGCCGTCTGAGGCAGTGTGAGTTGAAAAAGGTCAGGGTAATCCCTCCTCTCCTCTCCTCCCCCGCCCAAGCCCATCACTATTAATATTGATTAGTTTAGTGCTGGGATTGCTCAGCCTTTAGGGAAAGGACAGATTGCTGCTGCAGAAAGGGCACAGGGAGGGAAATGGGAAAACTGACATGGAAAACTGCCAAAATGATTTTTTTTCTTTTTCCCTCGTTTACCAAGACAATAATATTTAAGTTTCCCTTCCTGCCCTTCTTTGACAGTGCTGAAGTTCAGAGTTAACGTGAGGTTTGGAGTTCATTTAAGGGCTGGTGCTGCAGTGTGTGGGGAGATTTTAGGTGCATTCAGCAAAGCGCCTGGGGACCGTCCCCCACCTGCCCAGGCTGGCAGAAGCACACGCTGGGGGCTCAGGAGGACTCTAAGCACAGTCGTGGTAGGACTGCTGCAGTCGAGGGCCAAATCTGAGACAAGCAAGGCCTGAGCACCACGCTGGCATCCGGGAACGTGTCCTGAAAGGAAGAACAATGAATCTTTCATTTGCTCCCATTTCAGTAGCTACAAACCCACTTGCTGGCACCTCCCTCAGCCCGATGGCGCGTGGCTCTGCAAGCCAGACCGGGCACGTGCCCACGGCCGACCTTCCTGTCTTCACTCTGGAGGAGCCGTGTTTGCCCGTCCTGCCTGCATGGCCCTTCCCTGTCCTCCACCCACCCCGATGGCATGGACCACGCTGGACTTCCTCACAGGGAACCTCTTCAGTTGCAGCGAAGGGAGCGTGTGCTGTAGGCGCCGACTGATGTCATTTCAGAAAAACCTTTAAAAGGGAAGTGGTTGAGTCCCCATCCCTGGAGGTACTGAAAAGACAGGTAGATATGGCACTTAGGAGCATGGTTTAGTGGTGGACTTGGCAGCGTTAGGTTTACGGTTGGACTCAATCTTAAAGGTCTTTTCCAACCTAAGTGGTTCTATGATTCTATGAAAATGGCTAAAAGCCCTTGCATTTATTTGTAAGATGCGTTTTGTGTTAGGTGAGAAACTGCACGGAGACAAGATTGTGCAGTGTGTGAACACTACCTGTGCCAACCTCCTAGAGCTACTGCTCTCGAGGGCTGTGGACATCCCCGTGGCTGTGACATGGCTCCAGCTACGCTTCCCGCTTTGCAGCACAAAACTACTTGGGGATTCCTTTTCCAAGGCCCTGAGGTTTGGGAGGGAAGGGCTGTGTATGCCCTCCTGGATGCTGGCGTGGGTTTCCCCTTGTGTAACTTTGGATGTCTCCATCTGAATTACTTGTCTAGGTTCCATGATAGTCAATAGGGAGGCAACTAACGTGGGATAAAATTAATTGTGCCCTAGGAGTGTCTGGGTTTCTCTGCTGACTATGAAGGGAGCCTAGACAACGAGATCAGAGAGAGAGAGATGTCTCACAGCTGATCGAGAGCCCTGGGAAGGTGCTGTGGATCTTTCTGTTGGCATGTTAGGCTTAGGTAGAGTGGGTTTGAGTCTGATATGTGTGCATGGAGAAAATGGTTTTAATGTGTTTAAATGTGTTTTAAGGACCTCTTCTTCCATTGTGTGTTCAACTTAAAATAATGAACACAAATGCAGAAAAAAATATTATTTTTACTCATCAGCATCCATAAATAGTGGTTCCTTCCCACCCAGTGATTCTTTCCTTTATCCATCCCGTTTTCCATATCTTCAGAGAGTGCAGGGGTTGCTGGTAGACAGCAGTCTAAAAGCAGGTTTTCTCTGTGGCCATGTCTGCGGTATTTGAGGTAAAGGAGAACGAAGTACGGTAGTGGTGGAAAAACCTGCGTAACGCTGCTCAGCTGGAGCTTCAAAGGGATGGTTTAGGTCCCACTGAGCTCAGCCCTGTGCAAACCTGGCTGTGCTTCTTATGGACCTAAAGTTGTCCTGGCACTAATGTAGCTACATTTTTGTTATGCTAAAAGCTCAGTTGACTGGTGCAGACTGGCTGGGTTACCTCTGCGTCTGCACTAACTGTCCATGCAAAATCAATGTGTGTGCATACCAGTCATATTTAGCATCAGGATTCAGTTCCCTTGCTTCCATCCCCTTACTCCAACCAACTGTCAAAAATAGAAAGCTGTGTTCTTGACCGAAAACCCCTGGGAATAAGCAGGAAGGCGGCCGCTGGGTAAATGGTCGGTGTAAGCCATAGCTGAGATTTGACACTGCAAAGTCTTAGTGTCTGTTTAAAGAGAGAGCATTAACCTCTTCTTGTTAGGCTGGACACCAGATTTAGAAGATCAGAAGATCAGAAAAGACTTTAAAATGCAATCTGAATGATTCATTAATTCAGGCAGTTCATGAGTTTCAGTTTTTTAAATATTTGTCCATTTTTACAAGTAACAATTCTTATCTGACAGGATATTATAAGGGGGAAAACTCCTAAACTTGTAGACTGGTGCAAATTATCTCAGATGTAGAAAGCAAACTAAGTGTTCAGGACAGTGAAGGAGAAGAATCTTGCTTCTGGTTTTCTGTGTACAGTCACGGGCTTGGCCCCTAGCATCCACAGCTGAGCTCAGACTTCCCTAAACCTGCTAAGACAGGGTGGGCACACTTGTTTTTTTACCACCACCATTTTACTTGCCCAATTTATTGGCAGATCTAGTATTAAAAACAGTTTGGGGTGAGCTGTTTGAGTTTTTAGGCTGAAGATGACCAGGCTTTTAATTGATATTGGGTTGGGTTTCTGAGGAAGGTGCAACAGTGTCAGTCCATGTAACAGAATGATGAGAAATTACATGTTCTCACTCTAAGTTGAAATCAGTAGGTACTCATCTCCATAACGAACATCTTGGCCGTTGCATAAAGTGTCTGTCAAGTTTCTGTAGCTTGTAAGTAACGGTACTGTGGTCAAACACAGCTCATGTTGGATTCAAGCCTCATGTTTACATACTCTGTGCAGGACAGACAGCCGTATGTAGTTTTCATATAGAAAATGTGGAGTTTGGCCCGAGGGCATTGCACAGTGCATTGAGGCTGGTCACAGGAGAGAAAGATGGGTAGGTAATATTTTCACTCAGACGCCTTTAACTTTCACTGGGAACTGAGATATTCTTGCTATATAAGCAGCAAAGCAGTTACTTGACAGGTTTTTAATGGCAGGATTTCGGTCCCCACCTTCCGTAAGGGGAACGTGGCATTTACCTGGCCTCGGGATGACTGTGGTAGCAATGAGCCACAACGGTCTTTGAGGTGCACAGAGGCAGCTGACTGATCCAGCATATAGAAGTGAGAAAAACCAGCAAGCCAGCGGAGCAAGCAAACTATAGGATCTTTACAGATCTATACACATAAAGCACATAAAGCCATATTGGTATGGCCATGGCTGAAAAGCTGCCTCAGATACAATGGGAATTGCATTTTATTTCAATCTGCTGCCAAAGGATGAAGGGCTGAGTCAAACCTGCCAGGACTGACACCTCTGATACCAGTGAGTCACCCGCCACCGACAGCATCAAACCATGCCTGGCAGCGCAAGCCACCGAGTGTCTGTCAGACTCCCACGGAGAAACAGGGGAAAACAAAGACTTGCTACCAGGATGCAGTAATAGGTGAGAGGAAATGTTTAAAGGGAGCTCAAGTGCAAAGACAAATTTGGAGGGGAGTCTGAGGAGTGAGGCTGGGAGGTTTGAAGCCTGCTGCCACTCAGCTTTTTCCCTTGGCTGTTGCCACTGGGAAGCAGCGAGCCCAGCCTGCATGGGGCTGGGGCTGCAGGGACACATATATATACACATATATATATATATATATGTGTATATATATATATATATGCACGTAAGGGCTATAGCACTTCACGGGCTGGGGGGATCCTGTGCCCATGTTTGGCACAAGAGTTGCACTGGAAATGCCAAGTTTCATGGAGACTAGGTGGGCAACTGCAAGAAGAAGGGGTTTCTTTCTCTTTGGTGCAACAGTGGGAATCAGATCGCCTCTATTTCTACACGGAGCTGAGGAGGGACAAAGCACCCTAACGTGAGCAGCCGGTTAGAGGAACAGACGCTTGAGCAGATCAGTGTCTGTAGCTGAGCCAATAAGCTGACACAACTGATTTTATAATCACATTAGTGCTGTCTCGAAATAACACACCCACTCAAATATAACAGTGATTTCATTTTCAAAATGTTGTGGTATTTTTGGTGCTAAAGGTAGGGGTTTAATTTTTCAAGGTCAAAAGCTGGGCTGGAATCTGCAAGCACCCTAATTCCTTTAGGTTGAGCATTGAGCACCTTCCAGAAAGGTGGCAGGATTGGGCGTGTTACAAGCTATCCTTAGAAGGCTTCCCGTCCTTAGGGGAACAGAAAAAAAAAGACTACAGCTTCACTGAAAGGGTTTTCTTAGTTCTCTTTGTGCCTTTTGTTCCGTCTTGCTGCCAAAAAAAATATCCATGTTTGGGAACGGAGACAGGTTCCCAGGCTAAGAGACAATGAATCCTGGGGGTGTAAGGAAGGCAATGATCTCTCTTTGGCAGGGTGTCTCCTGTAATGCTGCACTGCTACTATGTAAGTACTCAATACTTGTCTTCTACTGTTTGCTTTATCATTACCTAAGGTGTTTCATTTTCCTTATCGAGACCATTGAGCCTTAAGGGTTCAGAGGATGAGGGGAAAGGAGAGGATAGCTGTAGACAGTCCTTCTGCTTGGGCTATTTTTTCCAACCCCATGTTTTCCAAATAGCTCTGGAGTTTAGAGTCTATACTAGGAGTCCCACTGCAGCAAAGAGCAAAAGGAGAAAACATAAGCTAGTGGGAGTGGAAATTTCCTCTCTCCCTCTTTTTTGGTCTTATAAAACTCGGTATGCGGGTGAATTTTTAAAAGTTTAACCAGATGGAGATTCTTGCAACAGAACTTTCTTGTGAACTGACCCAAAAGTGTGTCTCCCAGCATAAAGTTTGGCCTGGCCTTTTCTAGCAAAACGGGGTGACACATGCGTGCATTATGAAAGGAAAAAAAAAATG